TTTTACCAACTTTGAGCTCTGGTTATGTCAATGAACTAACCCCAAGGTGGCACAGATAAGAGTCTGTTCCCCCCAAAACCCCATAAAAATGAGACCTCTTAACTCCAGTCCCACCCCCACTCCCAGCACTCTTCCATCTCTGTCAGGTCCATGCTGCTGTATACTCCCAACTCTAATCCATGGTTACTGACTGATTGTGCCTCTCCTCTACCCATCTTCCTTCCTGCCTTCCTTCACCACCCAATCTTTGTCCCCATGTCATCTGCCACTGTACTCCTTCTCACTGCTTGTTTCTGGTACTTCCTGTGCCTGTTTGCCCCTATATCCTCTGTGCCTTATTAAAGTGCAATTGCAGCCTCATTTTCTGCTGCCATCATGGTCTTTCCTGGTGAGTAGCCAAAGAACTGGGTGTGCCTGCCCCATTTCATAAATTATCAATTTATATTGGATACTGGGGCTGAGGTGAAGTGAAGCAGCTACTGTGAATCCGAGGCCGAGTCTAAGTTATGGTTGCCAACCCCACTCGTCAACTACCAGGCATCTGTCTCTATTGCCAGCCTCCTTCCCCTGATCTATGAGGGATGGCCAGGAAAGGCTTCTTCACTTCGAGTCCCCAGGACCAGGTGCCAGGATGGGTGCTGCTGTATGTTGCTCTTCAGAAGATCTTCCCACTGCTCAAATAAGCCCACAGCTTAAGATGTGACTCCTCACCTCCATCACCTCTCATTCCAGGGTTCCATTATCCCTCAAAGAACCAAGGACATGTGGTGCCCTGAGACAGACATCTCATTCTTGCTTTCCAGATCTTTCTGCTGCTGCCAGGAGGGGAGACTATGCCCAAGGCTGGTACCCATTCCTGTTTAATCCTTTTCCAAGAAAGTCTTTTACTCCCTATAGGTATCAGGAGCAAAAATGAAGAAAAAGTGACATAGAAAGATGCTTTGGAAACTAAATGATAAGGAACTGCTACGAATGTCTCACAAGGATATACCTCGGACACTCAACTAGAGGAAGATAAGAAAAAGAACATGCTACCCTGAAAAAACTTCTTAACTAGCCAAGGCTCCAGGAGCCAAAGAACTATGGCTTGTCTCCAAACTCCTCAAAGTAAAACAATCAAACAAAAAACCAAAATACTAACACAGGAAATCCCTTTCTAGGAGGTAGGCCTAACACCCTAACTCTGTTCTAAGTGTGGCAAAGGTTTCCACCAAAGCTCCCATTTGATACAGTAACAGTATAGTCACAGTAGTGAAAAGTCATGCTGCTATGGTATGGACAGTGTATGTATCGAGGCCACCAGAGTTCCCTGCTGACCTCTTAACAGAGCAGCTATAAAAAGGCGAATGGTTCTATCTGCCCTGACTAGGAGCGATTTCAGCCAAAACTCCAATCTCATCCTTCATATTCACAAGCGTGAGAAGCCCACCCCTGCTTCCCCTGTAACAAAGACTTTGGCTTCAGTTCCCACCTGCTCCAATACACCCGAAGTGGTGAGCATCCCTACCCCCTTGAAAGGGCTTTGGCAGGAGTTATAGAGGAAGTCTCTAGGAGCCACTGCAAAATCATAAGATGTTCAAGGTTCTCATGGTATGTGAACTTGATTATATAGAACAGTGGTGAGAAAACCAGAGTAACAGGAATAGAAGACTCAGCTAAATAACAACAGAACCTAGGGCTATTGGGGTCATTAGACTTTCAAGGAGATAGAAAGGTGGAAGAGTTTATGTGAGGAGCTAGCTGGGGGCAGGGAAGGGTACAGGATTAGCCCAGGATTACCACTGCCCCACCTACAGAAAGACTTTTGGCTGTTGCTCAGCATCTGCACAAGAGGCCCTTTGACCATCACATGTGGCTGGAACTTTGGGCAGAAAACAGATCTGGGTGAGCATGCATGAACTCACTCTGACTAGCAGCCTTTACTTGCCCTGACCAAAGCTGAAGTTTTGCTGTCAAAAAGGGTCAAACTCCACGATGGTGAACATCACTACCCTTTGCCTGTGTGGGCAGTTTTAGTAAGAATAAGAATCAGATTCAGAAACATGGCTTCATGTCCCCCATGGCATTCGTACGTCATTCCCCTTTCCCTCAAAATTACTTATCAAATTTACCTATTGTGCCCTAACCTCTTTGATATCCAATCTCCAACTGCCTTTCAGACATTTCAAACTGGACGTCTTAGAGACATCTTAAACTCAACATGTCCAAAAGTGAACTCATTTTCTTTCTCCTTAAACCCTCTCCCTTCATAACTTCCCTATTACTGTAGAGGGTAACACTATCCTCCCAGCCACTCAGGTCCATAACTTAGGAGTCTCTCTCATTCCCCCATATCCCATCAGTTACCAAGGCCTGTTAGTTTGAAACACTTCTCCAATATGGCCCCTTCTCTCCTCTGACACTGCCACCACCCTGGTGCAGGCCCTTATCACCTCATGGCTTTATTTTTGCAATAGCCTGCTGGCTGGGCTGCCTGCCTCAAGACTCTCCCCACTCCAGTACTGAAAATACATTTTTCTCTCAAGTTGTATCATAGTTTTATTTGCATATTCATATTGAGTCTGTTTTAAAAACAAAAAACTTGAAAATACTAGGCACATAACATTGTAACTTTTTACTAGTACTACCAGGAGATTCTCTGTATATTGAGCGGGTATTGAATGTACATTATTTATGTGTCATTTAATGAATGTGTAAATACTGATGAACTTAATTTTTTTAATGGGCTTCAAATTTTGGCACCTTTTAAAAGAGAATGGAGTGAACTAATATGGCTTTACTAGCACAAGTAAGTATGCTATACAAGGTACTTAAAATGTTTTTACTTTTGGAGAGGAAATTCCAGTTCTCAAGTCTAGCCAAAGAAGTTATTTAATCAAACCTTGGTTTATTCACAGGTCAGTAATTACAACATCTAATAACTTGCTCCTTGAAAAAATAAGGTTCAAAAGTGAGAGGTCTTTGAATAACTTTAAGTGTTCCCAATATAATTCTGTTGCACATACAATAACTCTGTAATAATAAAAGTATCAAAGCAAAGCAAAAAAAAGGCTCCATTCAGTTACCAAAAGTAATTTTCCTAAAGCACAGGTCTGGTTATATGACACATACCCCTATCCAATAAACTCTAGGGGCTCCCTATTGCCTCCAAGTCAAATATAAAATCCTGTTTAACATACAAAGCCTTTTATAACCTAGCCCCTTCCCACCTTTCCAGCCGTCTTACATCTTATTCTTTGCCAAGTTCTCTTTGACCCAGTGATTGATCTCCTGACTATTCCACAAACAGGTACTCCATCTCTTGGCTTTGGAAGCTCTCTGGTTGTCTCCTAAACTTTCTATGTCTGGGTTTCTCTCCTTCATTTCCATCTACTGGCTGCCTTTAAGTCTCAACTACAATCCCACCTCCAACAGGAAGTCTTTTCCAACCTCAAGGCCTTCCCTTATTTGTTCTGAATATAGCCTGTTTGTACATATTTGCTTGTTGGCTTCTTCATTAAATTGCAAGCTCCTTGAGTGCAACCACTGCCTTTTACCCCTTTCTGTATCTGCAGGCTTTGCATACATAGTAGGTACAGAGTAGGTACTTAGTGCTTATTAAAACTGACTTCACACCTCTAACTCCCAGCTTCTTCCACCCTTTTTTGCCTTGAACTGTGCCTCCCAGTCTCAGATCCAACCTTTGTTAAAACCACCAGTCACTTAGACTAGGACATCACTGGTACATCTAGAAAAAGTATCATCAGAGGGGCCCCTCTGTAGGGAAATTGGCAGGATTGGACACTGGGAGGCTTGGATTGAAGATGTGTCACAGGATAAAAACTGGAAAAAAGGGTGTCACATTAGTGACTAGCAAAGGGAAAAAAAGAAGTTAGTGGGCTAAGGGACAGGAGGCTCATCTCCCAGCGCACATCCTCTCCTACAAACTTCTCTTCAGACAAGGGAATGGGGAATGATGAACACGCAGAACTGGAGGGATGGGAGCGTGAAACTTTCAAGGGAAAGAGCAGAAAACAGAGATTCTATAGGGACAGACGGCCTGTTAGGAATATAAGTAAATAGTAAGGAAGGAGGAGGAGAGGTAGGGGTTATCTTGGATGGGAATGACACACACAAGTAATTTGGGTTGAGATGTGAGGAAATGGATGACAGTGCTTCTGAACCAGTATGACCACATACTTCAGGACCTGATCTCCCTAGCAGACTGTGGCCTCCACCACCTGAAGCTTTACTGCTAAATTCCAAGTCTTTCTTCTACTAAAAGTCTCTTTTCCATCTGCCTAGCTCTTCCTCTCCTTCTGGGAGTATGGTGTGACAGAAACATAAACCCCTCATATTCCAGTCTCTCCTAGACAGCAAAGCATTTCTTGAATGGACTGAGTCACCTGGCCTTGGGGTGAAGAATCCTCTCCACATACTCCCCTGTCTCCTCATAACACCTAGGAAAGAGCTAGATATTTGCAGCAGGCACTCAGCTCATATTTAAGGAACTGAATTGGGGGACTCACAGTGGCATGAACTCCAACAAATCATCTTGTGCCCTGAAACTGTGAAACTTTGCAAATGTAATGCTAAGGCATAGAAAATTCCACATGAATGAGACTGGGGGGGGGGCAGGGTGGTAACATTAACAGTCTTTTGCAGATGACATCCACAGTATCCCTTCTTCCCATTTCCTCTATTGTTTCTACATCCACCAGTTCTTAGTTATATGTGAAGTTAGTTTGCACACAGAATTAACTGGACAGTGAAGTATGCATTACTAATCTACAGATGTCCTAACATGATTCATCTTACTCTCTGAAATTACAGAACAGAAAGTAGTTCAAGACTGACCCAAATTTGGAAGTGTGGAGGATTTCTGTTTTACTGTTAATTGATTGCAGCATAGTATTTTGATTTCTCAATGGGGGAAAAAAAATGTTGGATTTGAAGTCAAGAGGACCAGGGCCCAAATTTCTATTCCACCAAAACTAAGGTCAGGTGCTCTTTCCATAGCATCAATTTAACACAAACAATATTTATTTGCCTATCAAGGCAGGAGCCCTGAGGATTAATAAGACATGATTCAAAGTACTTGGTTAATAATGTAATATTATTGTACTATAAGAAACAATAAATATGATGAAAATAGAGAAGCACAGGAAAACTCGTATGAACTGATGCAAAGTAAAGCAAATACAGAATCAGGAAAATAATATACAGAAACAATGTAAATGCAAAAAAACCCCAAAAAACAACACAACAGAAACTTCTGACCAAGCTCAGCTCCAGGATATGAGAAGGAACCTCTCCACCTCCTTTGCAAAGGAGAGGGATCATGGGAAGGGAACACTATAAATGTCAGACTTTGATGTTAATTTTGCTGAAGTTTTTTTCCTTTCTTTTTATTCTAAGGGATAGCTTTCTGGGAGGGTGAGGGTGCTAACACTGGGAATGTAGACAAAGGAGAAACAAAAGAGTAATGCATATTTATTTTTTACATACTTGGTTAATGCGCCACAGTTCTTTGAAAAGGTAAATAAATGTGCAAAGCACTAACCATCTATTTTATTTTTCAAAAAGCCTTTTATTAATTTTCAAAAGAAAATTATCAAAACAAGTCCCCATGGGACTTGATAACCTTTTGTAGAGCTTAAACAAAGGATAAAGATAAGTGTACACTTCTCTGGAAGAATTCCAGAATGGTGCTGTTTTCTACTACTGGCACTAAGACTTGTCTTATGTAACTTTTTTCCCTTAATAAACCAGAAGAGGAAATAAACCGTTAAGGCCCTCAGGTCTGCAAACTAAATATTAGCTTAGGGCAAAAAGCTCTAGACTTGGAGTCAGAAGATCCATGTTTGAATCTTGGCTCTGGTACTTACTCTTTGTATGACTAGAAACACACACACTGTTTGTGGGTGGCAAAATACAACTTCTCTAACCCTCAGTTTCCTCATTTATAAAATGAAGGTCTTGGACAAGATAATCTATTAAGATCCCTTTTAGCTCTAAATCCTATAATGCCAAAGATCTTCCAGCTAGTAAAATCTAAGTTAACAGAAACAATTTACAGAAAAACCAGAAAGCTGAAAAAGGGACAGGTAGGTCAATGTCATCAATGTATTTTAGAGTAAATTCCCAAGTATAAAATCAGAACTTTGTTGTTATTATAGATATCACCACTTCAGATGACTAGATGGGGGAATGGGATACAAAACAGGAATGATTCCCCCTGTACTTCTGTGAAATGAGACACCTGCACCTGGAGTAGTTTATCCCCTTCTCACTTGCATATCTCATGGGGAGGCATCTTAGAACTTGAAAATCACCAGAGGAAGAAATCCCGGGATGAGGTTTGGTAGCAGGAAAGCTGTTATGAGACCAAATTTTTAAAGATTAAAAAGACAAATAAATGGGAATCTCAATATGCCTGACCCATAAGAGGCACTTAATAAATGTTTGCTTATTGGATGCAAAATTCTATAAATGCAGAATCAATAAAAGCTGAAGTGATGTGTGTGCTAAACCCTGGAATATCAAATTTAAAACTACCTTGATGCTTAAAGGTCATTATGAGAGAATTAAAGGAAATCCTGCTCTACATAGCAGGTAGTAACTTTATGGAAGCTTATTTCATGGGGCAATAAAGAATAAAAATACAAGCTAAAGACAGGTTTACAGTTTAGTTATTATGTAATAGGTCTTTAATAGGTGATTTGAGATTCAACTCTATTTTTGAGGTTAGCAATTGAGAATAACCAGTTGCCCATCCCTTCCCATACAGAATTCTGGGCTGGAGGGACTCTACAAATTGTCTTGTGTGGTGATTATAGTCTCATGAATCCCAACCCTTTCTTTACAGAAGCCTAATCATATAGAATTTCAGATTCCCCAATCTCATACTCCTCTCCTCCCATGAAGACACGCAGGTAAAGACCCTTATTCTACAAAATACTGAAGGAGATATTCCACCTCACTCTAATCCCTTGCTTCCCAAAATTTACCAATTCTGTTAAGAATTTATCTATTGAACCTAAAACCTTACTATGGAAATTAAATGGCTTCTCTTCTCAAAAAAGAAAAAGAGTTTAATTGTCTACTTAAAAGACAATAAAGTAGTCCTGGTTACAAACTTCTTATTTTGCAAGTTAAATAATTCTGGTCCCAAATGCTTTTCCTTTCCTCAAAAACATGATCTTCCCAACCATTCTAGGAAGTACCCATAGTTCTAAAAAATAAAAAGGAAAATGTCTGCCCTGAGAAAATACATTGTGAAATCCTTATGAATAGCATAAGTATTACACAAATAAGATTAAAGTGTATAGCAGTTTGTTTTTCAATTAATGTATATTAATATCCTAGGTAGGTCCTCTGAGAATCTCATTTGATGATACCTGAGATGGGGAGGTATTAGATTGTCCCCCATTTAACAGACAAGGAAACTGAGGATCAGAGAGATTATGACTTCCTTAAAGTCAGAGGCAGACCAGAATTCAGATCAGACTCCCAACCTAGTGTTTTTTCCATAGCTATACCCCCTTCAATTAAGGAATATGACAACTTGTTCAAACACTGACTAAGCAAACAGTTCTAGGTTCCCCAACTATACAATGGAGACTTACATCCTTCCCACTGAGCTCCTGGAAGGGTAAGTCAAATAATGTAAATGAAACAGTTTCGGGGTAGAAGGCTCTTAAAGAGACTGGGGAGCAAGGGGATAGCCACCCTAAATACCCTTTTCCTGTCTTACAAGGATATACCTACTGAGGCCAGGGAAAGAACAGCTGACAAAAATGATTCTCTGAATCTTTTGATAATCTGCCTCACTAACCCATTTTGTTGAAATGGGAGAATCCTCTGGAGGAAAAAAGAACAGGATGAGAGAGTTTGAAACAAGAATAATCAATCACAGATACCATCTTTATTGGGGGCTGAGGCCTAGAACCAATGTTTATACTTTCTCTGAGCACTAAAACATTCAAACATCTCCAAAGGCCCCTCAAAACCTCCCAACATCCAAGAATCCTGAGGCTTCTTCTCTTTACGCTAGGGAACAGCTCAGAGCTATGCTCTATAGCAAAAGATTAATCCTATCCATTCCAGGTCTCCCAAGGAGAAAGCTTCTATGCAGGCCTATGGAAAGAAATAATCAGCCTCAGTGCAACCAGCCCTTGCCTTTCCCAAAGACACAGGGCACCTGCATAGGGGGTGAGGGTATCAAGAAATAGGAAGAGGCTGGACCTACAGCTGAAATCACTGTTCCTTGGCAAACTCTGAAAATTGTTCTCCACCAAGCCCCAATCTCTCTCTCATTGCAAGATCAAATTCCATCATTACCAATAAATTCCTTTGAATTAAACACTACTCTTCCCCAGGCTGTACACCTACTCCTTAAAGATAAAACACAAAATGTCCAACATCTTAGTGTGATGAAGCATATACAATGTCTTCCTCTTGTGACTGGGGAGCAACATAAGAACCCTGGAAAAACACTAAAAGCGAAAACAAATTTCACATAGTTTGGCCAAAGGACACTAGCTGGGAACCCAAAGTTACTCATTTCCCTTAGCTCCCAGGAGATCTCCTTAAGCCTTTAGAACTCAGGTGCTGATCTCATGAGAACTATGTCACCCATTCTTCGCCCTCTGTAGTTGGGTCTACATACCATCCTGTTTCCTTCTATGCCATACAGCTTCTTCCCATAGAATCAATGAAGCCTCCTGACAACTTAGTCTAAATGTGTCCTATCAACCCCAATGAAGCCTTAGAACTATAGAATCAAAGAACACAGAGGTGGAAAAGACCTTACAGGTAATCTATTCCAACCTCTCTTCTAGTATTGAATCTACTCTATGATACTTCAGATAGATAAATCACATAGTGTCTTCACGGAGAAGGCAAGTAACAGGAAATTAAATTTCTCTCTAACAACCTCAGTCCCATTTTAAAAACAGATAGCTTTAATTATAACTAACTTCTCATTAGCCCTAGTTCTGCCACTAGGACCTACCCCAAATGAGTCTGTATCCTTTCCTACGTTACAATCTTTACAATTCTGGAAGATAACTACGCTGTTCCCTCAAAGTCTTTTTTTTCTAGCCCTATCTGCCTTAGTCCTTAAAGCCTATTCATCAATCAACTGAAAGGTCCAGCAGGGTAGCAAGAATGGTGGATGTCTTCATATTTGAAACTCAGAATCTATGTTTCTGTCCCCAAAGAGGAAGTATGTTCCAGGACACAGAGGATACCCCCAAAAAGAACCAAAGCTCACATCCCAGAGTATATCTGACCTGGGCTCTGTCACTTTTACTAGCTAGGGCTCAGAGGAAACCAGCTCCTGAAGAACTCCCAAGGTCCTGAACAAATTCAGGGCCAAGGCCAAAGTTCTGACCAAAGGTAGGATATTTATAAGGATGCCCACCCTGATGGGTTCTCTGGTGCTGGACCAGGTTAGAACTTCGGGCAAAAGCCTTTCCACACTCAAGACAAACGTAAGGCTTTTCACCACTATGGGCTGCCTGGTGGATTAGCAGGTGGGAACTCTGACTGAACCCCTTTCCACAGACACTACAAGTATATGGCTTCTCCCCAATGTGGGTCCGTCGGTGCCGGAGGAGGTTTGAACTATCCACAAAGCTCTTGCCACATTCAGGACACTTATAGGGCTTTTCTCCTGTGTGGGAACGCTGGTGCTTGATAAGTTTAGAGCTGTGGTAGAAGCTCTTGCCACAGTCTGCACAGGAATAAGGCCGCTCTCCTGTGTGAATTCGCTGGTGGTCTGTGAACTGTGAACGCTCACTGAAGCCTCTACCACAATCAGGGCACTTGAAGGGCTTCTCACCATTGTGGGTCCGCTGATGGCGTAGACAGTCAGAGCTGTTAGTGAAGCTCTTGCCACATTCACAGCAATTATAGGGCTTCTCACCTGTGTGAGAACGTTGGTGTTTGAGCAGATAGGAGCTTCGGCCAAAGCTGTCCCCACACCAACCACACTTATAGGGCTTCTCCCCAGTATGTGATCTCCTATGCTGAAGCAGATTAGAGCTCAAGCTGAAGCTCTTTCCACAGTCTGCACACTTATATGGCTTCTCTCCTGTGTGAGTTCGCTGGTGCTGGATGAGGTTGGAGCTGACACTGAAGGTCTTGCCACACTCAGAGCAAGTGTATGGTTTCTCACCCGTATGGACCCTTTGGTGCTTCACTAAGTCTGAGCTCCGGCCAAAGCCCTCACCACAGTCGGGACATTTGTGTGGCCGGTGGCCTGTGTGTGATCTTCGGTGCTGGATCAGGTTGGAGCTAAGGCTGAAGCAACGGCCGCAGTCTGGACAGGGGTAAGGCTTTTCCCCAGTGTGCACACGATGGTGCTTTATTAGGTCTGAGCCTCTTCGAAACTCTTTCCCACACTCAGGACACCTGTATGGCTTCTCCCCTGGGTGAGTACCCTGGTGGTGAATCAGATCGGGGAGACAAGCTACAGTCAGTCCGCACTGGAGGCAACCAAAAGGCCTGGATCCTGGGAGAGCTGTCCTGAGACCTATTCCGGCAAGTTTCTCCTCCCCCTCGCCCTGGCCTGCTCCACACAGCCTCTGGAGCCCCAGCATCATTTCACGGGCAGCTGGCTGGCCTGGCCAGACAAGAAAGGGCCTTTCAGGCGGGTGTTCCGAGGGGAGCTTGAAAACAGGGCTGGGGGGCAGGTCTCCAGAAGCCAGGCCTGGAGCCCTCACATCCTCCAGAACTCCTGGCTGAAGAATGGCGTCTTCCCTATTTCTGTGCCCCAAGGGGAGAAAAGGACATTCCAGGCCCCTCCTGGGACTCAGGCGTCCCAGCCCTCCGGGCCCTACTTGCTCCTCTCCTCCATCCCGGGACTCGTCACTTCTCAGACCCTCTTCTTCGTGTGCCTGGAGCCCTGGGTTCCCGGGTTCCAACCCTCCCTCCATCCTGGAGAGAAAAGGGGAGAAAGAAGAGGAAGGGAGGAAAGGGGCCGTTCTTTCTTAAACGAAAGCCGGTGGGCAGGAGGGACCAAGGAACCACGGGGCTGGCGCTCGCCCTGTGCACAGACCAGAGCCGGGGTGGGCCACTAAGGTTCCAGGCGTCCGAGCACCGGAACCGGAAACCCCCCAGCCCGGCCTCTCTAGGACCCAGACCCTAGCGCTCCTCTGTGGGCTTAACCCTTTAACTCACCGCGTCGGGGAAAAAAAAGGTAGAGGCTTGCCAGGCCTCTCGGGCCCGACAGACCTGGACGAGCTCGCGGGCCCCGAGGCCGTGAGCCCTGAGAGTGGGACCCCTGGGGCCGGCGCTGCGGCCCTGGAGCCCACAAAGGCGTGTCTGAAGGACAGCCGACTCCAAAGGGCGCAGGGGCTTCTGAGAATGCCAGAGAGCCGGGGCCGCGCCGGGAAGCGCGACGTCCGGGGCACCGGGAACCGCGTAGTCCGAAGACTCCATGGTCGGACGCCTGGGTTCTCGAGGGGAAGGGGCCGCGCGCTGTCCCCTGGGAGCGGGAGTTCTTCGCTCGTCCCACGATAGGCTATATACGATAATCACGGACTACGTATCCCAGCGTCCACCGCGCCCCAGTACAGAGAATCGACAAAGAACTACCACTCCCGTCATACCTCGCGGGTTTCGAACTGCCGTTGGTCACAGCCTACCACCCACGTGATCGGGAATTCCCAGGAAGTGGAGCCGGGGAGGTGTGAACTACACTTCCCAGTGTGCATCACAGCAACGGGGCCATTTAAAAGGCGTCCTCCAGAAGACGTGCATAGTCACGCCCCATCCTTCCAGTCCTGTTCTCTGCGGAGCCACGAAAAAGGGGGGTGGGGCCTCAGGCCCAGGCCAAGATGGCGGCGGCGAAACCGACCCCCACCGACTCGCTCTCGTTCTGCCTCGCGCAGCTCACAGCAGCGGCCGTGGAGGGGCCGGGTGGGGGAAAGGACTCGGCAGCCAACGAAGCCCCCTTGAGCCGCGCGCTCTTAGCCCTCCGCACGCGTCACGTCAAGGCGGCGGGGGATATTGAGCGTTTCCGGGCGCGCGGTGGGCTCCGCCCCCTGCTCGCTCTGCTGCGGCGCACTGCAGCAGTGGCGGCGGGACCCGCCCCGCCCCTAGCAGGCCCCGGCCCCGCCCCCTCACCCGCCACGTCGACGGGCGCTGCCGGTTCCGCCCCTTCCTCGGGTCCCGCCCCCCAAGCTGCTACGTCAGCGCCAGCGCGATTACGTAGAACGCTCGATTTGGCCCTCAGCATCCTCGCCAACTGCTGCACCGAGGGGGCGTGCCGGACCGAAGTGCGCAGACTCGGCGGTATTCTCCCACTTGGTGAGTGTCCAGCTGTTCGTCCTCCGCCCTTCGCTCTGATTCGGGTTTGCCCCTTTGCTGTTTCCCTTCTGACGACAGATTTAAAGCGACAGGATCTCTGAGGCCCAGGACATGGGGGGACGTCGCTATGTGGGAATGACCCCACCTTCATGGAAGAGGACGGGGCTTGTGACGTCACAGGGTCTTCTGTGATATCACCACATCTTGTGTGATGCAACAGCTCCCTTAATATCGCAGGTTCCTCTCCCACTGTGAGGTCATTCTTTACATACGCAGCCAGCCATACCCCACGATGATCCTGTTTTCAGTCCTCATGGGTGGAATAAAATAGAAGACAATTGCTTGAACGGTTTGGGATGGGGGAAGCTCACTTGGCCTTGTGTTGACAGTTTAGGCCAAAGTGATATCTTTAGATTGCTGAAATGTTACTCTTTAATGAAAACCCCCGTGGTCATGGAAGTGTCCCCCAAATCACCCAGACCTTAATATGTTTCTGGGAGTTGCCCCAAAGTGATCATTAGCTCTCTAGTTCATTATCTTGCACCCATCTGATGTTTTCTTGAGGAACACTCTCCAAATAGAATAGGTATAACTTGTTTCTAAAATGTAGGTGAAAGGAAGCCCCAACTGCCATACAAGTCCTCAAAGTGATATGGGTGTCAGGTATGGGACAGTCTTTATTTCACCGTACCATAAAAATGCAGAAGATGCAGGTGATTCATAAGAACCCATAAAAACATGCAGAAAACATATAAGGCATTCAGAGAACTTTGATACATCCCCCAGAATTCTGGAACACAGGCTCAAATATAACAACTCATGAAAAGAGGCTGAGTGGTCTGTTGCTCACCTTTGTTGGCCTGCAGAGAAAAAGCTCTTTTCATAAGAGTTCACTCTTCTGTCCCAGACAAGTATATTGGGGGGATGGTTGTAAGGGTTGAGGTTGTAAGAATAGTGTGTATTATACCTACTTGACAAATAGAAAAATCAGCACTCAGAAGGGCCAAGGAACTTATCAAAAGTCACACAGCAAATCACTGGTAAAATTGGGACTCCAAAGTACAAAAAATTTTCATCCCCAAATAGAAGAAATTTGGTTAAACATAAGGGCATGTTTTATGCAGAATACTATACTAGGTCTGACTGGGGGGTGAGAATACAAAGTTTAGGTAAGACTTAGTCTGTGCCCTTATAGTGTACTAAGAAATGAAATGTGTCTTCTTGTTCATTTTTGCCCTTAGTAAGCATCCTACAGTGTGTAAGGACTGACAGTATACAGAACCGGACAGCCCGAGCCTTAGGGAACCTGGCTATGGAGGCTGAGAGCTGTGGAGACATCCACAGAGCTGGTAAGAGCTTGATGAGGGGAAAGGGGCATGGGAATGGCAGGGAGGAAATGCCTAGATTTTAGCAAAAAAAGAAAACAGGAGTCCAGAATTGGAAGATTTAAACACATGTTTCTTTACCCTTCCCTTTTCCATCCCCCTGTCTAGGTGCTGTGCCTCTGCTGGTTGAGATCCTCACTGCCTCTCAGGATTCCCAGTGTCTCCAGAGTGTCATCCGTGCCCTCCGAAATTTGGCTGATTCACCTCAGCACCGCCTGGTCCTAGCCCAACAGGGGGCTGTTCGGCCCCTGGCAGAGCTGCTGGCTACAACCTCTGACCCTGCCCTCACTTCAGCCCTGGCTCGGGCCCTGTTGGAGCTAAGCCGAGGCTGCTCACGGGCCTGTGCTGAACAGCTGAGCCTGGGTGGTGGACTGGGACCTCTAGTGAGCCTGGCTACTCACCCCAAGCGGACAGTACGTGATGCAGCCATATTGACTCTGGCCAACCTGTGTGCCCAGGGCCTAGTGCGTCCTGCTTTGGGCAATGCTGGTGGTGTGGAAGTACTCCTCAGTGAACTCCGGAGGAGACGGGGGCCCAATGGGGCAGGCCCAGTGTCCCAGCAGGCCCTGGTACGGGCTGTCTGTCTTCTGTGCCGTGAGGCCATTAACCGAGCACGATTAAGGGACGCTGGGGGTCTGGAGCTGCTCATGTCCCTTCTGAGAGACCCACGGGCAGAGGCCTTTCATCCTCGTGTAGTAGCAGCACTTGTTGGCTTCCTATATGACACTGGGGCCCTAGGAAGGCTTCAGGCACTGGGGCTTGTGCCATTGCTGGCAGGGCAGCTAAGTGGTGAAGTTGGAGAAGAGGAGGAAGAAGGCCATGAGGCTGCTTCCTGTGACTTCCCTGAGGAGCGGACTCCAGGACCAACAGAGGCTGGGAGCTTCAGGAGCCTCAGGTAAACCTGCATCTTGAGCAGTCTCTCTAGATCTGCAATTCTGACACTACCTGTCTTTTCCAATTCTTATATTCCCTAATATAATGGCATAGTAGATAAAGCACTGGACCTGAAGTCAGGAAGTCCTGAGTTTAAATCCAGACTCAGACACTTACTAGCTGTATGACCTTGGGCAAGCTACTTAACCTTTGTCTCCCTCAGTTTCCTCAACTGCTAAGTAATGGCACCTATTTACCGGGGTTGATGTTTTAATGTAGTATGTAAATACTGGCTATTATCAGTTAATGTTTAAACTAAGTGCCTATTATATACCCAGGCACTGTGATAAGCACTTTTTACACATGATTTCTCTTAGGTCTGGTAGGACCACTGACTGTCTTTCTCTTTGATCTCCAGGTCATGGCTGATATCAGAAGGCTATGCTGTAGCACCTGGAGATATCTCCCCTGATTGGTCCCCTGAACACTGCCCTCTGCCAGAGCTTCCTGCTGTCCCAGTCAGATCCCTCCAGCAGCGATGCTTACGGGACAGTCTGCCCTTCTCCTCAGTGTCCCATTCCCCACTACCCTCTGCTCCAAACTCTGCCAGCCTAGGCATGGAGACCCCAAGCACCTCACAACTAGACACTCCCAGTCACTCAGGCGACATCCCAACTTCCCCAACCCCACTAAGGACATCTGGTCGTGCTGAAGAATTGTGGGGACGGGAAGGGCCAGCACTCTTACTCTTGTCACGCTTCTCACAGGCTCCAGATCCCAGTGGGGCACTAGTGACTGGCCCAGCACTACAAGGCCTGCTAGGCTATGTGACCGGGGCCCCTGGTCCCCCAAATCCCCGAGCCCTGCGAATTCTGGCCCGCCTCACCTGCAACCCTGCTTGCCTAGAAGCTTTTGTCCGAAGCTATGGTGCTGCACTCATCCGGGCTTGGCTAGTGTTGGGTGTTGCCCCAGACGATTGGCGGGCTTCAAAGCCAACCCGGGTACGAGCAGGTGATCGAAAACATAGGGAACTAGGTGAGTGACTCATTTCTTCTTTCAGGTACACAAACATGTGGTTTTCCTGCCCCTTATTCTCTCTTTAGAACCCAGAAGTTCTGTTTTCCTATTACCCAGATCTCTGTGCTGCCCATACTTAATGTCCTTGAACCCATGTGACCTCCCTCCCTGTAATTTTATGCATCAAGAACCCAGGCATCTTAAACCTTCTTTGCCAGTTCTTTCCACCTCATCAGTTCTTCTGCCTTCGGTGATCCAGTCTCCTGACCTGACCCTTCTTTTCCCCCCAGGTGAAATGCTGCTCCAGAACCTGACAGTCCAGGCTGAGTCTCCCTTTGGGGTGGGAGCACTGACTCACTTGCTCCTCTCTGGG